AGACACAACAGCATTAAACTAACTCCTGTGACTTTTCCCCAGGACAGCTTTGATTTACAGCAGCAGCAGCACTCCCCAGGTTGTCTGTAGGAGCAGGAACATTTGGTCACATTCCTGGTAGCAGAGGCCAAGGAGTGAGGAGTTGGGAGGGGAGTGGGACCCCAGGTCACTCCCTCCACAGGTGATGGAGCAAGTTTTACCTGCAGCCGTTTCTGTCCCCTCATTTCTTCAGTTGAGATGTGCCCCAGAAGGGCAGGAGCTCTGCAGGCCTAATTCAATGCTAAATTAACCCAAGATGAGTGGTGCTGGTGCTGGTGCTGGTGCTGGTGGCCCATCTGAGTGTGTGACACCTCCCCGTGGGCGAGGCAGCTGCATGGCAGATCCCGAGGGTGCTTTTAGCTCCTGTGGTGGGACAAGCAACAGGTTTGCTCCCCAAAAGCAGGCAGGCTGGGGTGGTGCTGGTTGGCTCAGCCCAAGAGATGATGCTGCAGAAGAGGCAGCAAGACACAAATCCAGGATGTGCTGACTTGGCAGCAGCACGTGCTGCGCCTGCAAATCCCACTCTCCACTCACCCTGTTTGCTCGGGGTTTGCTGCTTTAGTTTTTCCCTCAATTTAAATTCCCAAGGAGACACAAGACACAGCAAGTGCTGATGCAGCCCACACTGGAATGCTGTGTGGAGGAGCACGGATCCCACCTGCCTGCCCCAGCCCCTGCTCAGCCCAGCACAGCTGCTCCTACGGGCTCTTGACATCCCATTTACAGATTGGAGCACGGCCACTGGAGTGCTGGATTTACCCCACTGTGAGCAGGGTCCAGCCCTAGGTGTTGCCAGGCTGGGATTGCCCTGTGCCTCCTGCCAGCTGAGGGCCTGGGGCCGCCCCGGTGGCTCTGGGGACGTGTCTGCAGCGCTGTGTGTGGGTGACTCCCTGCACAGGGCTCATGTGCTGGGAGCCCTGGCTGTGACAAACCCACCCCACCTGCATCCCCAGCCCTGCTCCCCTCCAGAGCTGCTTCCAGCTGAGAAAAAGAGCCAGTCAGGGTTTGAGCCTAACAGATCATCAGGGATCAAAGCTGATGAATGGGTTTGGAGCTGCTCTTTATTGCTCATCCCAGGGGTGTTGGTGGGGTGCATCCCCCGGTCCCCATCCCCTCCGTGCTGGGGGTCACGGCCAGAGCCCCTTGGCCTGGCCCAGGCTCTGTCTCTTGGCCCCTGAGCACCACCAGAGCCCCCCCAGCCCCTTTCCCCCTGCCTGGGCTCTGGGGCAGCTCTGCCAGTGGGGCAGCAGCAGCCCCGAATGCTGGCAGAGCTTTCAGCTCTTGCTCAGTCTGTTTTGCTCCAGACTTGAAATGCATTAGTGTCACACGTGGCAGCTCAGTCCTGTCTCTTTGTCACTCGTCCCCTTGTCTAGGGACATTGTCTCAGCCAAGCCCAGTAGCTGACTGGCTTTGCATATTTTTCCCCAAAGTTTTTTTATTCTTGGTGGTAGGAATTGATTCTAAACACAGAATTGTGGAATCACAGAGTGGTTTGGGTTAAAAGAGACATTAAGCTCATCTTGTTCTACCCCTCTTCCTGGGCAGGGACACCTCCCACTGTCCCAGCTGCTCCAGCCCCAGTGTCCAGCCTGGCCTGGGACATTCCAGGGATCCAGGGGCAGCCCCAGCTGCTCTGGGCACCTGTGCCAGGGCCTGCCCACCCTGCCAGGAACAATTCCTTCCATGAATCCAGCCAAAATGTCCCCTCTTGCAGCTGGAATCACCTGGCTGTGTTCAGCCCCTGGGCATCCTTGGGAAGGGGAGGTGGGAGCAGCGCTGGGCTCTGGACCTGCGGTGGCCACGGAGAGGAGCCTGATGTGTGCAGTGCTCTCAGTGCCTTGGAAGTGTCCAGGGCCGGGCTGGACAGGGCTTGGGGTACCCTGGGATAGTGGAAGGTGTCCCTGGGGGTTGTGTGAGATGAGCTTTATGCTCCCTTCCAAACTGTTCTGTGATTTTAGTTTGGCAGCACGGAGGCAGCTGCCCGTGGAGTGAGAGGATGCTGCACCCACCCCACTGGCACTGTCCTGCTCCAGAATCCCCTCAGAGCAGATGGGGCTGGAGGGACCCTGCTGCAGCTCACCCTGTCCAGTGCTGCTTCCCCAGAAAGCTGCCCCAGCATTCCTGAGACAAACCAGTCAGTTCTGCCATCCCCACAGGGGTGCCTGGGGCAGGCTCAGTGCAGGGCAGAGCTGGGACAGGGACAGGACAGGGACAGGGACAGGGACAGGGACAGGGACAGGGACAGGACAGGGACAGGGACAGGGACAGGGATAGGGACAGGGACGTGGGTGGAAGTTCCCACTGATCACAGCTGCCTCGTGCTGTCACCAGCCTTGTGCTTTCCAAAACGAGCGGCTCCCTCGGGAGCTCCTTGGCAGGCTCCTGCTGCCCTGGGCGATGTCCTGGTGACATCTGCCTTCCCTGTGCTGCTCCAGAACAGTCAGAGGCAGCAGTGGGAATCCTGCCCCGTGCTGGGAGCTGCCAGCCCGTCCCCAGCCAGGGGCCTGCCTGCATCCTCAGCGTGGCAGGGATCCCAGAGGGCCACTGCAGGTCCCCTGCCCTGTCAGGGGAGGCTGGTGAGCGCTGCTGGCTTCCAGGAACTGGTTTTCCTGACGCTTGGGCATGCAGGGAGCACTTTGGGGTGGGTTTGACTCGGTGCCTGCACGTAGGTTTGTGCATGCACATGTGATTTGTGTTTGTGGTGTGCAGGAGGATCAGGGCAGGGATTCACCTCCATTACTGGAAGTGATTACAAATGAACAGGGGCAATGAGAAAAGCCCTGAGTAAATCACACCAAGTATCACTCTCCAGTTTTGGCCGTCTTCCCATGAAGATAAATGCAGAAACCTGTCTGGGGTAAGGCAGAGCCAAGGGACAGCCTCTGTGCCATGGTGCCAGGCTGAGTGTTGCCCCTCGGAGCTGAGGGATGGCAGCAGCCACCCAGCCAGAGGAGAGTGTAGGCAGCTGGCTGGGGATGGATCTGTCGTGCAGGGAAGGGGTGCAGTGCTGAGCTGTTGCAGTTGTGGAGGGTTTGATCCTGTGGCTCCTCCGTGCTGGGGATGGGGCAGGTTCAGCCCCTGTCCCAAGGTGTCTGGGCACTTCCCGCTGTCCCTGGCTGACCCACGGAGCACCAGTGGCTCCTGCTCAAGGCCTTTTTCTCACTTGTCTCCCCAGCTGCAGAGAAATCACCTATTTGCATTTCAGGACAGAAGGTGGAGGTTTGGGGAAATGACGGGCATTTTATAAAGCAATTAAAACCCAACCCCTGTAATTGCTGTAATTTATATACACCTACAGAATAACCAGCTGGTGCGATCCAGGCTTGAAGCCCATTTTATTTGTTTCAGCACGTCAGACAGATGGAAACATTGCATCTGTGTTTTCCTGGGGTGCAGAGGGGCTGGCAGGGAGGCTCTGAGGGCAGGGGAGCAGCAGAGGGCTGTGGGAGCATCGCTGACACCAGAACAGCGCCTCTGATTGCCACAGAGGATGTGTGCTGAAGGGATTGGTGCTGGGGACAGGGCTTGGGTGTGCTTGTGGAGTGATGGAAAACTTGGGATGTGCAAATGGGGTGTGGGCACGTGTGCTTCAAAGCTGTGCCTCAGCCCCCGGCCTCATCGCAGCCGGGAGGATGAAAGGAGATTGGTGCAGTTCAAAGCTGCAGCCACGCTGGTGACGAGGGAGGTAATTAGCAAGTGAAATGTTCCTTGCTGTAGTGGAATGATGTTTGTAATATTGGGCTGTGAGGAGAGGGGGGTGGGAGCAGCTGGCTGTTCATTATCCATCCAGCCCCACTCTGCAAACCCTTCTGCCATAACCGAGGCTCCCCGGGTTTTATTCCATTTCTCCAGCCTGTTCCTGCCTTCTGCCTTTCTCGCCCTGGGCCGGCGTTTTCAGGGCTGCAGACGAGCTCGGGGTATTTTGGGAGGCAGTGTTTTTCAGGAGTGAGTGCTCTGCCTGTGACTCGAGTTCTCCTGCCTCAGGAGCCCCAGTTGCCCATCTGTGCGGAGAGGGGCCGTGTTTCTGGGCCTGCTGGAGTCAGGTGAAAGCCTCAGACTGCAGTTCCTACCTGCAGAAGAATGAACCACCTCAGGGACCCTCTTCCAGCCCTGGAGCTTAAAATATTGATGGGTATCATTTCCTGACAAGCGCTGCAACAGGTGCCGAGTGCTTTGTTATAAAACAAAGTGCAGCTGCCAGAGCCGTGTCTCTGAACTCGTTAGCACCCACAAGCTGTGTTCCCACAGGGTGTGGCCCTCCCCTCAAGTGGGGTCTGCACCCCTGCTTCACTGGATCCCTCCCTGAACCGTGCAGCCTGTGGGCACCAAAGCAGGCCCAGGCATCCCTGTCCTCTCGGGTCCTGATCCACAGGCAGAGATCTGCTGGCAGAGATCTGCTTGTGATCCACTGGCCATGATCTGCTGGCAGAGATCTGCTTGTGATCCACTGGCCATGATCTGCTGGCAGAGATCTGCTTGTGATCCACTGGCCATGATCTGCTGGCTGATTCCTGCTCAGGTGAGCCAAGGGCAGCGTGGCTGGGCACTGAGGGGCTCAGTGCAGCTGAGCTCTCCCTGCCTGTGCCGTGGTAGCTCCAGATGAAGAGGAGACATCCCTCTCCCACGGCTCATCAGGCTTTTGTTCACCTCCCTCACCCCTGGCAGAACAAAACTGATGATGAAAATAGTCAAAATTCTCTCTCCAAAGGAGTGGCAAAGGGCAGGCAGCCACGCTGTCCTGTCCAGCTGGTGACACCCCAGGGCCACCGTGGGGCTGGCTCGGTGTCTCCCCGAGGCAGGAGCCACCGAGGACCCCCAGAGCCTTTGCCCAAAGTCTTTGCAGTGTTCCTCCCTCAGGCCGTGTGCAGGGACAGGGCCTCGGTTGCTGGCAGGGGACTGGGGACACTCCAGCATTGCTGATCTCTGTGTTTTTCCTCTTTCTCCCATTTCTGGACCTGCAGCAAACCCTGGAGACGAATCTCACCAACCTGGTGAAGCGCAACAGCGAACTGGAAAGCCAGATGGCCAAGCTGATCCAGATCTGCCAGCAGGTGGAGGTGGGTGAGGGCCGGGAGGGGCTGGGGGATCACCCAGCTCAGGGGGACAGTGGGGATCACCCAGCTCAGGGGGACAGTGGGGATCACCCAGCTCAGGGGGGCAGTGGGGATCACCCAGCTCAGGGGGGAAATGGGGATCACCCAGCTCCTTTCCTGGGGCTCCCCCGGGAGCAGAGGTGGGTGGGGGTACTCCCAAGCACTGGGGGACACAGGGATGGTTCCCAGGGGCCTGAAGGAGTTGTTCTGGTTGGGGGCCACTGAGAAGGGACTCGGGCTGCTGAGCTGGCTCTGTGCTGGGGCAGCAGCAGCTTCGGGTGGAAGACAGTGAAACCCAGCGTGGAAACTGGCTCAGCCAGGTGACACTGAGCCTGGAACAAGGCTCATCTGTGGGTGACACCGAGCCTGCAGAGAGGTCTCAGCTGGGTGACAGGGAGCCTGCAGCAATTCCTCGAACCACCAGCTCCCCACGGGACTAAACCCCAGGCTGTTCAGGGGGAGCTTGCCAGTCCCTGAGTTGTTTTCTTCACCCTCAGCACCGCAGGCCTTGCGGGGTGTGCAAGTCCTGTGCCTCCCCAAGCCCTGCCACGGGCCAGCAGGATGCAGGAATGCTGTGCTGGGATGTGGGATGTTGCCTCGGGAGCTGGCAGTAGGATGGAGGGATGCTGTGGGGGAAGGTGTGGCAGGATGCAGGGATGCTGCAGCAGGGCAAGGGATCTCCTGTGCTAGGTGCAGCTGTTTGCCCACAGCAAAGCAGCCATGGGGCACTTCCCAGGGGCTGCAGTTTGTCCCTCAGCTCCTGCAGTTTGTCCCTCAGCTCCTGCACTGGCAGCAGCCGGGTTTTGGGGCTGCAGAGGCGCTTCAGGCCCTGCGGCTGCTGCAGGCAGCGCCAGCGCTTTGTTCCTCGCTCCCTCAGCAATGTCCTGATGATCTGGCAAGAGGGAGTGAGTGCAGAAACCCTTTCTGTGAGTGCCAGCGGGGCCGAGTGTGCCACCAGCAGCTGGCAGCCACTGTCACAGTGTGCCAGAAGGAGGAGGGGGCTGGGATGCTCTGAACTTCCAGCCAAAGTAAGGAGCAGAAAAATCCCACTTGGCTCTGCAGCACTGCTGGCCTTTGTGTCACTGGTGCTGTCCTGCTTCTCTCCCTGGGCATCACTCTGCAGCAGCAATGGCTTTGGTGGAGCTGTCCCTCCTGGGCTTCCTCTTCCCCAGGGCTCAGTGGGCTTGGGCTGGCTCTGGGAACACGGATAGCAAACGGATGTGTGGCAGAGAGAGGAGCCAGGACGCCCTTGCAGAGCTCTGGTGACAGCCACCAGCCCTTGCTGCTCTGATGGGCCGTGCTTTGGCTCCGAGAACCCACCAGGGATGGAGAGGGATGTGGCTGGATGTCCTTCCAAACCCCTTCCTTTGAATCCAGCTCCAATATCTTAATGACCTGACATAGGACAAATTGAAAGATATTTGGTATTTCTGTCTGATCCTCAGAATCTGAGACCTCTAAGCTGTCATTTTGACAGAGTTTGGGAGTTTTCAGCTTTGTCAGAAACTCTGCTTAAAATAACAGTTGAAATAACATTTCTCAGCTATGCTGGATGCGCAGCCGGGCCCTCGGAGGCACCTTCGCAGGGAGCACAGTAAACTGTGAAGCAGAAAATATCTCTGCTCCCCATCAGTCTGATTGCAGGGAATTTTGCTTTTGAGCTATTTGTGGGCAAGGCACACAGGCAGGCACATGCAGTCCCCCTGTCCCCTGCCCCTCAGACACATTCGGTGCAAATCTCACGGCAGGTCCAGAGAACGGTGCCAGCAGCGCCTTGGGGACAGGGTTCACCCCTGAGAAGGGCCCTGTGCTGCCCCTCACAGTGACTCTGGGGCCTGGGGGCTGCACTGGGGGAGGTAGAAACGGCCAAATCCTGTGGCAGTGATGGAAATGTGGCCCAAGGAGAGCAGGTAGTAACCGGGCAGAGAAGCTGAGTTTGTAAATAGGGACGGTGCCAGCCCAGTGTCCCCACTGTGGGGGGAGCAGAAGCTGCATTGTCCCGTGGGACTGTGGCCTGTGTCAGGGCAGCCCCAGTGAGCTCCTGCTGTCCCCAGGGCACAGCAGAAACCTGCTGAGGACTGTGGAGGTGGGATGGGCTCCTCTGCTGCATCCCCGAGCTGCCGGGGCGTGCGGGAGGAGGATTGCCTGGTGTGAGTCAGGCTGTGGGATGCTGTTTCTCATCCCCATGAGGTGTAGGACAGGCTTTTCCCAGAGCTGAGTTTATTCCAGGACTGTTGTCCCTAGCACATTCCCCCTCAGCACTGAGGTGGGTGAAATGTTTTTTTCTCTCCCTTGTTACAACCAAAAGCTGCCCAGATTTCCTGCAGCCGCAGCACTGCTGAGTCCTCACCCCCAAACGCAGCATTTCCCTGGGAGCTGGTTCATCCCTGCAGAGTGCTTTGGCCACTGCCCAGGTGGTTTTGGGCCAGGGATTTGCCAGTGGAGCAGTGCTGGTCTGCAGTACCCCCTCCATGCTCTGCTGGCCCTTTGGGGGAACCCCAGCCTCGAAAATGCTCCTTTTTTGGCAGAAGGCAACTGGGAAAAGGAGGGACTGTGGTGTCCTCTGCAACTTCACCTGCCTTCAGCCCCACAACATGAGCATGGCTGAGGGCAGGTTCCTTGCCCTGGGCAGGTTTTCAGATTGAGGCTGTGGATGGCTACGGATTTACGTTGTCCTGGAGCCATCCTGGAAGGGGAACGCTCCGGGCCTGAGCTGCACCTTGGTTGGAGCGATGGGCCCAGGGCCGAGCTGAGGTGCCCCAACCTCCCCTCCTGTCCCTTGGCCCATTTCCTTCCCTCCCCTTGCTGTGCTGAGCCTTCAGCCTCATCTTTGCTCCTGTGCCCCAGAAGCTGAGTGAGAGGGGGTTCCAGGGAATTTGGGGTGACAGCCATCCCTGTGGGCACACAGCTTTGGGGCACCCTGGTGCTGCCAGCTCAGCCACAGCATCCCTGCCACAGCAGCTTGCTGCAGGCTCCAAACCCTGGGGCTGTTCCCTGCCCCCCCTCAGTGCAGCAGATTGGGAAGATTTTCCACTGTTTTTCCCCAGTGGAGCTCTCTTTGCAGACCATCAGCTGTCTCCCACTCCGGTGTTGCATAATCTGCTGGCCAGGTTTAAAAAAAGATCCTGTAGCAAAAATGTGGTTCACTCAAGGCTGCCTTGTTTCAGAGGGATTTGGGAATATAAAATGAGGAAAACTGAATTCTGTCCTGTAGTGTGCTTTAATGAAGTGCTGGGGCTCGAATCCTCTTCCATGAAGTGCATTCCCTCCTGTCCTGTCCTGTCCTGTCCTATCTGTCCTGTCTGTCCTGTCTGTCCTGTCCTGTCTGTCCTATCTGTCCTGTCCTGTCTGTCCTGTCTGTCCTGTCC